GACAAAGCGTGCAGCTTTGGCATCGCTCTGGGAGCTTGCAGGGCTGGAGGAGGGGAAAGCCCTCTGCCAGCCTTCTAGCCAAGTCGGGGGACAGCGGGAAAGGCGCGCTGCGCCTCCCGCTGTCCCCCGAGTTTGCGGGGCTGGCGACGGGGAGGAACAGGCTTCTCCCCCCCCCCGCCAGCCTTCTAATCAAGTCGGGGGACAGCGGGAAAGACGCGCTGCGCCTCCCGCTGTCCCCCGAGTTTGCGGGGCTGGCGACGGGGCTCTCCTGAAGCCTGGAGAGCGAGAGGGGTCGGTGCGCACTGACCCCTCTCGCTCTCCAGGCTTCAGCGAAGGCCTGCATTCGCCCCATAGGACGCACACACATTTCCCCTTCATTTTTGGAGGGGGAAAAGTGTGTCCTATAGGGCGAAAAATACGGTAAGTAGACAATAAAAGAATAAAGTACAATATTTCAATACAATAAACACTATTTTACAAAATAATAATAGTAATAGACTTCCATCACTCTCACAACACTTCCTTTCACATTTCATTTTTTATCTATTTCAGTATTATCATCTTAATATATAGATATGTGTATATATATGTTTCCTCTTTTCCATTCACGAGGTCATTCTAGACACAGCCAAATTTTTACATTAGAACCTTGTCTTTCTAAATAATCATTCAAGCACTTCCATTCCTTCTTGACTGTATTCATTGACTTTAATCTTATTACATCCATCAATTTGGCCAGTTCCAAATATTAACATAATTTACATAACCATTCCTCTTTGGTCGGTACTTGGTTACCCTTCCAGTACTTAGCCACCAGGATTCTCGCCGCAGATGTTGTGTACAGAAATAATTTAGTATTTTCTCTAGAAATATCACTATTCAATATTCCCAAAAGGTATGCTTCTGGTCTTTTGCTATGCCTTCAGGGCCACTTTAGGTGCGATGTTGATGTTTGTGTCTGCTACCAGTGCTGACTGGTTATTTTTCAGGAGTTAAGGTTGTGTCGAACCTTGGAGGTTACAACTGTGTGAGTCGATATAAGTAGTTTTACATTCTCCAGACTGAGAGCCTGCTCTGGTATAAAACTGGGCGTCTCCCAGATGAGAGATGGAGGAATGTTAGATGGTCTAGTGGGTGTGAAGAATGAGCTCATCTATGCTTCAGAAATGGGGTGAGCATCTTACAAGACCTTCCTTTGCAGCGTTCCTACGTATATTGCAAACTATTTCAAGGCCTTCAGATAGTCTCTAAATGGAAATCATAAAATTAATAAGCCAGTAAGCTAAGCATCTTTAGAGGCAGTCCTGCAACATGGCAGGGAAATATGGCTACCTTTGGTGGTAGATCCTGGAGGCCATTTAGGGCAACAAACTTTGAAAGCAAACAGATCTGACCCACTGAACTCAATGCAAAATGAGAAGTTTTGCAGCATATGAAGTGAATTGGAGCTTGAGCTACAGGAAGACTTTGTTCTGACTCATTTCACTGGACCTTGTGCAGGAAGACAACATGCCAGTATATTGGTCGTCTTGTTAAAATTAGCAGGAAAGGGGGTGTTATTTGGGTTTCAATTAAATAAAAAATAATTTTATTAGGCAGTTGTTTTCCCCACTAAGAAGTCTCCCAAATATGATGAAAATATATACAATATATACAAGTTCAAGTCAGCTATCTCAGAGATTAAAAGACTACAACTTTTTTTTTTAACTCTGCAAATTCAGAAACGTACAGAAGACATGAAGCCCAAGCACTGTGGACACACAGAACTTCAGAAAAGCTCGGAGAAAGAACAGTCTAACATCACCAAAATGCTAAGAGGAAAGAGGTGCATGAAGACTGTTTTGAGGATTGTCCACCATCTTGCTTGTTTTTTATGGGGGGTGGGGGGAATCAAAGCCAGAAGCTCCTATTTCTAAAAAAGAAAGAAAGGGTGTCAAGCTAAAGAATGCTGCCTGGAAAAAACTACTAACCAGATAGAGACATTTGTGCAGAATTTAAAAGAAAAAGTTAAATTCAGGCCAGGAAGCAGGCAAACATTCCTACCAGAACTTTGAAAGTTCATTTTTCAAAAGAACTAGTTTTAGTTTGACCTGTCCCAAAAGGAACTGGTTCCCATTCCCATTCGTCTCTTTACAAAACAAACTAGTTTGGGTTCATGTTCAGTTCACAGATCAATTCAAGTTCATCCAAATGAACCTCAGCAAAAAAAAAAAATGTTTAGCATTCAGAACATTACAAGCTGCTGTGCTGAAAGGATAAAATATACAGAAGATTAAGAAAACGTCAAAACACAAACACAGTGGAATGTGAATTGTTTGATTTACATTCCCCAACAATAATGACCTTTAAGGTTAAAGACCCAAAAAGAAAAAAACCAACAAAAAAACAAACACATGCAAGAGATTGAACTAGAATTTGTTCAAATTTCTATCCCAAAATGAACTGAATTCACATTCATTTCACCAGGCTGTTATTGGAATTACTTTCAGGTGTAGTTCAAAGATTTTTGAAGTAGGCAGTGCCCTTGTGGGCAACCCACCTACGGCACTGCCTCTGCTGCTGGTGGAGAAGCAGTGCTGGCATCAGCGCTGGTTTCAGGCAAGATTACGCTGATTTCTTGCGAGAGCTCACTGAAAATCACCGTGATCTCTCCCAAAACTGGTGCCAATGCTGGCGCCTTGTCTCACCAGAAGTGCTGATGGTAGCAGAGCAAGGCTGCACTTCCCATTTTGCCTCAAGTGGCAAAAAAAGATACACCACCTGTGTCCTAGTCTTAGGGGAAATAAATTAAAAGACCCTTCTCTCAGATATAGCAAAAGGGGCTGCTTATGCTTCCTCTATTTTCAAGTCAGTTACAACTTTGTAAAAGAGGTCAGTTCAGTCACTGGTCTTCAGCTGTTGAGTCTGGACCCACTACTAGGTTATGGCTTGATCCAAGGTGGGTCACAACCAGAGCATTACCACCATGCAAATATATGGTAATAGACTGAGAAATGGGTCCCTAAATGCATATTTGGGTTAAAAGTGGGTGCTGGGTTTGAAAAAGTTGAAGATACCTAGGTTGAGTGATGGTGAAATTTGTAAATTTGCACCTTTTCCAAGTGGGGGAGGCCAGCCTACAACCTTCAGTGTTGTTGGAGTAGAACTACCCTCATCTCTAATCATTGGTCATGCTGGCTGGAGCTGTTGGGCGTTCTGGAGGTTATCACATTGGCTACCATGCTATACAAATCCTCTCTGGGGCTGGGGCTGTAGGACAAAGTGCCCTCTGTACAAATCAGACGGAGTCTTGTGACACCCACTAATCTACGATTTCAGGAATAAAGTTAGAAAACGAAGTTTCAGTGACTCAAAAGAGATAGGACTCTCACCCTTAAAGAAAATAATCCCTAGTCAACCAAACAATATTTTAAACGAGTGGGGGTGGGGAATACTTTTACACAGAAGTCAGGCAGCTGTTATTAATGAGTACAGTGTCAGGACCCACATTCTCAGCAAATCCAAAATGCTAGCCAGCACTTCCTCCAGCCTCATCTCCTCTTCTGAAACCCCCTTCTGATTCAAGAAATCATAGAATTGGAAGGGCCCCAATGATCATCCATTCCAAATCCCTGCAATGCAGAAATATGCAGCTGTCCCAAACAGGGATCAAACTTGCAACCTTGCCATTATCAGCATCATGCTCTAGCCCAGTGTTTCCCAACCTTGGGCCTCCAGCTGTTTTTGAACTACAATTCCCATCATCCCTAACCACTGGTCTTGCTAGCTAGGGATGATGGGAGTTGTAGTCCAAAAACAGCTGGAGGCCCAAGGTTGGGAAACACTGCTCTAGCCCAGTGTTCCCCAACCTTGGGCCTCCAGCTGTTTTTGGACTACAACTCCCATCATCCCTCGCTAGCAAGACCAGTAGTCAAGGATGATGGGAATTGTAGTCCAAAAACAGCTGGAGGCCCAAGGTTGGGGAACACTGCTCTAGCCAACTGAGCTATCCAGGCTGTAAGTAATCTGAACATCTAAATCATGGAAGCCGAATAAGCCAAGGATACAACAAACTGAGTTTGCGTTCATTTTATCCAGACTATCAAGCACAAAAAAACTGACAATAAGCAGCAACAGAACCACTGGCTTCCGAAGGAGAATCAGAACTGTGGCAGCCAATATAAAGGACTAGTACTCAGAGAATGAGTTTATTATTGATATGTAACATACGGGGATGTTTATGTGTTTTAATCTCTTTTTCATTTACTGCTGATTCCAATTGTTTTTAAACATGTTTTAGTTATTTGCTTTTAACGGTTTTGATTGATTTTATTCTCCCTCGTAAACAGCTTGAAGATTTTGTTACAATCAAGTGGTATATAAATTTTGTTAAATAAATGAAGGGTTGCTCCCCCCCCCAACACAGCCCCCTGAATACTGAATAAATTTGTGAGTGGATTTTTGAACCTTGCTGTGAATCTTGACCACCCGCCCACATCAAAACTGAAAAATCTTTCCTGATTTCTCATCATCACTCAGGACTGCAGTTGTTACTAGCTTTCTGCAACCAATCCTGAACCTTTCCCCAAAGTTGTGCTTCCGTTGCAGGCAGAGTGCATTTTCCAGGTGCTGCATATCTTAGCAAGCCCACCACCCTCCATGAGTGAAGTCACACACACGTAGTTCAAAACTTCTCCTTGACAAAGGCAAGGCAATTCAGTGGAAATGGTGGAGGTCCTTAGTTGGTTAAAAAAGAGTGAATCAGGTAGTAAAAAATATTTGCGATTTGAAAAGGCAAATACCATCTCTGTCAACACACCTTTTGGGGAGGCAGGGGGAGAAGCAGTAGATTAATTAAAGCCACAGACTAATCTATCACTAATTTCACTCTCAGTTGTGGAAAAAACCACACCAGACACAAAAGTCACATAGAGGTAGAGTCTGGAAGCGATGCCATAGTGAAACATCCAAACTAGCATTGTGTAATAAAAGCACAAAAAGATTCATGTGTGTGGTTTTACCTTCAGCAGAGCTCCCTTTTTTCCTTCTGGAGCAGCTTGTCCATTCTGCAAAGCAAAAAAGCCAAACTTCCCATTAGTAACGTGTCCAGCAGCACCATCCCTTGCTGAACAAAAACAGCAATGATCTAAACACCACTTGATGATCTTAACAGGATCCAAGCCTACTACAAGCCTTAGCATCTTTCTTCAAAGCAGTTTACAAAATGAATAAAGCAGTTACATTATAAGTAAATGAATAGTTAAAAACAATTATTTAAAATATTCAAAAAATAACTAGGTTTGACAATAAGCTAAAAACTGGATTAAAACACATGCCGACATTCTACATGCCTGGATAGGCATGCCTAAACAAAAACGTTTTCAGCAGGCACCAAAAGGAGTACAGGGAAGGTGTCTTGCCTGATGTCAATAAGCAAGGAGTTCCAAAGTTTGTGTGCTGCCACGCTAAAATATTGATTCCTTACAAATGTGGAATGAGTATCATATGGTACTTTTAACAATGCCCCCTCTCTCTATACAGCTATTCCCAAGAGACCAGGACCATGTAACAAAATACACAAATGTGAAGAACACAGTTTTAACCCAAAGTGATATTGTACAGCAGTGGTGTGTTATGGAAAGGTACAGGACCTCTGGACGGTTAAGTCCAGTCAAAAGTGACTATGGGGTGCGGCACTCATCTTGCTTTCAGGCCAAGGGAGCGGGTATTTGTCCACAGACAGGTTTCTAGGTCATGTGGCCAGCATGACTAAACTGCTTCTGCCGCAGCGAACACCATGACGACTGCCAGAGTGCACGGAAACACCGTTTACCTTCCTCCCACAGTGATAGCTATTTATCTTCTCGCACTGGTGTGCTTTCGAACTGCTGGGTTGGCAGAAGCTGGGACAGAGCAACGGGAGCTCACCCTGTCACACAGATTCGAATTGCCAACCTTCTGATCAGCAAGCCCAAGAGGCGGAGTGGTTTAGACCACAGCACCACCCACTCCCATGGGTGTGTTATCATACTCTTTTCAGTGCACTAAGCAAATCCTTTCCTTGCTGCTGAGAAGAAAGAGTTAAGCGTAGTTCAACATCTTAAGGATGACTCAGCAGAAAGTAATCTGGGTAGGTGTGCCATAGGTAGCCAAGGCAGCTGCCGGAAGCCCCTTTTATCAACACTTCCTCCCCAGGCGCCAGGCAAGAACAAAGTCAACCAAGGAGAACTGATACTGCCAAATGGGCAGTGGCTTCTCACATCCTGGGTTTTAACCAGAGACTTATTGCAAAGCTCTTACCCCATTTTATTTCAACACTTATAAAGCCTTGATTCCAACAGCAACTCATTAAGGGAACAAATATATTTATCAGTTGCATCATTTTCTACTCCAAAAATCCCAAACAACATACACCTGCACTTCTAATTTACATGATAAACACCTTAACCAAATCTGGAAGTGGAAAGGCAACGTGGGTATAAATTCTTGAAGTTACAATTCAAATATATACCGTATTTTTCCGTGTATTAGACGAAGTTTTTTGACTCAAAAATAATGTAAAAAAACTGGAGTAGTCCTATACATGGATAGTGGCGTGGAGGGGAAGCTGCGCTTGCCAGCCAGATGGTTGGCGGGCATGCAACTCCCCCCCCCCAAGCCGCTGTGGGAGGCGCACGCTCTAAGGAGTGTTTCCCGCAGTGGCATGGAGGGGAAGCGGCCCACGCTATAGGGAGCTTCCTGCCCTCAGTGGCCGGGGGGGGAGGAGTGGCTGCCCACTTTGCCAAACCCCAGCAACGACCCTGCTGGGGTGATGGCGCGCATGCAATTCCCCCTAAAAAAAGCTCAACAACTTTGGGCCATCTCCCCTCATTCTCTTTAAATTTAGACCTCCAAAATAGTCTTATACATGGGGGCACCTTATACATGGAAAAATGTGGTAGTTCTATCTATGTTGCTTCTTGCTGCGTAGAAGAATTCTCACTGATTTTCAGTGGTGACTCTGGCTGTCTTGTCCTCCCTAGAAGCACCCCCCCCAATCCAATCCAGGAGCAGAACTGGTAACAATGGCCACGCTCACACCATACAGTTAGAGCACTATTATACCATTTTAACAGTCATGGGCTGTGGTGTGTTAAGGGTGCTGACCTCACTAGACCTATGATTCCCAGCACCCTTAACAAACTACAGTTTCTAGGATTTTCCAACTTCGTTAAAGTGATATGTATTCAAATGTATGGTTTGGGTGTGACCCAAGCTCACAATATGAGGTGAGATTCAAACTGCAGACTTGCCAAGTCTATAGCTTAGCCTCTTAACCATTGACTACGCTTTATTTCACCTGCAATGTAAGAAAGCAGTTTTGCCAAGGAAGATTCACCCCACAAACCATACCAGAGATTGCCAACTGTCGCCCCACCAAAAAAGGTATCCCTCCCACCAATAAAACAAACTCAGTTACCCAACCAAGCCCAAGTGGGTTACATAACTTCCCACCTGAGGCTGCTGAATTTGGAGAAGATGTTTATCTGGGGACAACTGCTGGTTAAAGCTCTTTAATTCCGCATAATCCTCCATGCAGACAGAAAGCAATCTGCTGAACTGGACCATGGAAGCAAAGAAAGTTCTAAAGCCAAGCAAAGGGGATCCCTAGGGATTCAACACAGGAAATATGAAACCAGACTGCTGCTGCTGTTGCCATTAAGAATAGCCGTGCATCAGCCATGGAGCACTGGTCAAGCCTCAGACCACTAGGAAAGGGGAGAAATGGGAGTCTGATAGCTAGAGGAGACCACAACCATGGGATGATCTGAAGGAGGCTAAGCAATAAACCTTTCTCCCAACTTCTTCCATGAAGTTGATTAAATCACAGACTTGGAGGGGGGCCTTTTAGCTCACCTAGTCCAACCTGTGCCCCAATGGAATAAATCCAGAGCTAGAACATCACCAACAGATGGCTTGGCTGGCCTATGCTTGAACACCCCCAGTGATGGAAAGAGCCCATCCACCCAATTCAGCAACAAAACAAAACAAAAACTAATTTACTAGGCCCATTAAAGCTGCGTGCACACTATACATTTAAAACACTTTCTCCTTCAACAAAGAACCTTGGGAACTGAAGTTTATCCCTCAAAGCTATAATGCCTAGCACCCTTAACAAACTACAGGTCCCAGGATTCTGACAGGCGGGAAATGCTTTAAATGCATGATGATCAAGGATAGTCCATTGTAGGACAGAGCACAAGGCCCTGATTTAAAACACATGGCTTCCCCTAAAGAATCCCAGGAACTGCAATTTGTGTTGAGATATATATGGTAGCTCTGTGAGAGGTAAAGTACAGGCCCCAGGATTTTTTTAGAGGGAAAAGCTACGTGCTTTAAAATATATATGGTGTCCATGTGGCCCAAGTCTTTGGCCTTTTCTATGCAAGTCTCACTGTGCACAAGAGATCCTGAACATTCAATTTATGGGGTAGGTGTGTTAGTCTGTTACAGCAAACATGCACATATACACACACAAATTTTGTGACACCTAAGAAGAAATGCAACACAAATGGGAACTCCAAAACAGAATTGGTAGTAGGAACAAAAATCAATGGTGTACTGTAAACGCATCCAATGAAAAGAGGCATCAGATCTTAATGTTTGATTCTCAGAAGTTCCCTGAAGAATTAATTCCTTTTCTTCAAGAAGGACTAGTAGGGTCCAAAAAGCATTGCATCAATAGGTAAAGGTAAAGGACCCCTGGACAGTTAAGTCCAGTCAAAGGCAACTATGGGGTACGGTGCTCATCTTGCTTTCAGACCAAGGGAGCTGGCGTTTGTCCACAGACAGTTTTCTGGGTCATGTGGCCAGCATGACTAAACTGCTTCTGGTGCAACCAACGGAACACTGTGACGGAAACCAGAGCGCACGGAAACGCCATTTACCTTCTCGCCACAGCGGTACCTATTTATCTACTCACGCTGGTGTGCTTTCGAACTGCTAGGTTGGCAGAAGCTGGGACAGAGCAACAGGAGCTCACTCCATTGCCTGGATTTGAACTGCCGGCCTTCTGATCAACAAGCCCAAGAGGCTGAGTGGTTTAGACCACAGCACCACCCGCGTTCCTAAATTTCTGTCAACCCCATTGCTTTCTGTTCCTACTCCCAATACCGTAAAGAGCAGATTTATTGTAGGCCCAAAATTATCTCTCCTTTTCCAGCAGCTGCTATTAAAAGAGGGCTGCAGCTCAGTGGTATAGCATCTGCCTGGCATGCAGAAGGTCCCTGGTTCGATCCTCGGCATCTCCAGATTGGGCTGGAAATGTCCCTGGGCCTGAGTTCCTGGATTGCTGCTAACAGTATATAGACAGTACTGAGCTAGGTGGTCCAACGGTCTGCCTCTGTATAAGGTGGCTTCCTATGCTAGAGGCAAAGGTGGCTACCCAGTGGAGTTATGCTGCAATAAACCTGTTTGGTCTTTAAAAATTACCAGAAAACTCATTTTATGTTCATTTAAAATGAAGCACACAAATAAGAATTTCCAGTGGATTGTGTCCTCTGCTAATTAGAGCGTGTTCATGCAGAGGTGGGGAATTTGGATTTCCCACTTTGGGCACCAAAATGTTCGGGGCTGGGCCCTATTTACAGGTGTGCAGCAGAGTGGGTTGTTGCTGTTTTAAACATCACATGTGTTTCTCGGAAGGGGGGGGAGTGAGAAAACAGGCTCCCAATTAACATGGAGAGCTTTGCCTTAAGACCCCCTGAAAGTGGGTCAAAATGCAACACTGCCTATGGGGGCATGAGGGAATCCACTTAGTAGTAATAATGTGTCCAAATAAGCCACTTAATATTGGAGAATTGAGAAGTTTTAATTAATTTTTATTTATTTTTTTCAAGTGTGAGGGTTGTGTATTTCATGAAAAGCAAATTCATTCCAGCTTGAAATCACCTGGGGTTGGTTGTGTAATTTTACATCAGCTACACTGCTGTTATATTAGCATAATAAAGTGTCAGCATGGTTTGAAGGCTGTTTAGCAGATTTGAGTACAAACTCATTTGATTCCTTTTCCCCCCATTGCTTCCCA